TTTACTGCCAGCCCCGCGGCGGTGCCTGCGTGCTTAGGGTAATTCAGAGGGAAATTCGTAAAGCCGGGGGATGGGCCGGCCCTGCTCGGCTGGCCCTAGGGGGCCTAGCCGCTTTCTAGGCGCTGGGAAAGTTCGGTTCCTCTGCTGATCCTTGCACACTGGCGCCCGGGACCTCGGGGCTGCAGGTATGATGGGAGCCGCGCGTGCAGAGATCGCAGCGTGGGACCCGGGCGGGGGCGCTGGGCTTTCCCTCCCGCTCACAACCCTTCTGTCCCTAAGCAAGGGAACAGGGCCTGGCTTTGCATCGGACGAAGCTATGGGTCCACCCGCTGGTGGAAATGAATCTGGGGTAACTCGCAGACTGCAGAGAACTAGCCCTGGTTTCCGGGGGAGACAGAAAGTGGAGCGACAACGGTCCCAAACCCTACAAATACTTTGTTTTGTTTTGCTTTAAATCACTAAATTCGTGCAATCAGCCCCACTCCTTAACACCCGTAAGAAGAAAGCGTCCGCACAGGTTATTTGTTGATAGCTGATGCCTCACCCAGTTTCCTTAGCGTGATTGCTCATTTCCAGATTTTGTTCTTTTAGGAAAACAGGGTTTTTGAACCAACGCACAGGGTATTTTTCTAACTTGTGGACCCCACTCTTGTCTGCCGCTGAGGGCGGTGTCTCACCCACCGTGGGAAAGGGACTACCTTTTGTTGAGTTATCACGTTTAATTCCCCCAAGGACTCAGCCAAACAGGTGTTCTTCTCGTTTTACAGATGAGGAATTTGCCCAGAGGTGAACTTTTGTAGGGCTTCCAGGGTAAGAATCAGAGCCTGCCACCGCTAGTTGAAGGCGAAGTCATTTCTCACTTGGCTTTCCAAATACTAAACTTTTTGTTTATTCATTGTGTGGTGTGAGGACCAACACTGAACCCCCGGAATCCAAGGTCCGAGCTCTACCCCCGAGTGATTTCCAACCCTATAAAATGGTATGGCAAACTTTCTTTTAAGCAGGTATGTGGGTTAATGGAATCAGTTTTACATTTGGAGTGATTTCAGACCAGACATTTTTGTCTGGAGGGTGGTCAGTGGAGCGAGAAGATGGCTTCAGGAACACTTGGGGATTTGTTAAAATGCAGATTCCTGGGTCCCACCTAGATTTGCTGAGCAGATTCTTTATGAGTGATACCCAGGGAACTGCAGATTTGCAAACAGTACCCCATAGAGGGCCTTTCTTTTGTTTTATTAAATAGGAGGTTTGTTGTTTTTTTGTTTGTTTGTTTTTTGAGTAGCCAAGAGCCTGTCTGCAAAAAAAAAAAAAAAAAAAAATACATTCTGAAAGTTTGGAGAAAAAAAAATGTGTCATTACCATTGTTGAAATTTAAAAAATGGTTAGAATACATTTTTCTCACTTTTAATATAAATAAAATCCCAATCTCTTGGCATGGGCTGCTGGCTTCTGGTTGAGTAAGAGCTTGTCTGGTGCTTTGTCCTTCCAGTCACCATCACTAATAGACCTTTGATTCCCAGAAGACCGGTTACAGATGTGAAGCAGCAGGGCCTTCACTCGAGAGAGGCCAGCAGCACCGAGGGGCTAAATGCTCGGATTTGGGATTTAATCTTTTGAGGCTGCCCCTCCAGAGGGGCTGCTTGCACAAGGCCATCAGCCTCCCAAGTCTTAGGGTTTTAATCTGTTAGGTAGGAATAATAGCTATGGCGTACTTTAAAGATTTGGCATATAAAGTGAGTTTGGGGATATAACTCACATGTGGTTGGAGTTAGTAAATATTCCCCCTTTTTTGGAGTTGTTTTAGTCTTGCATTAATGAATTTCTCTTGTCAGTTTGCCACTAGCAAGATCTAAGATAGTTGGAATTAAGAACCAGTCACTTTGAAGTCGGGCGGTGTTAGTGCACGCCTTTAATTCCAGGACTGGGAGGCAGAGGCAGGCGGATCTCTGTGCATTCTAGGCCATCCTGGTCTCCAGAGCGAGTTCCAGGACAGTGAGGGCTGTACAGAGAAACCCTGTCTCAAAAAACAAAACAAAACAAAAATCAAGTTGAAATCACGGTTTTTTGTTTGTTTTTTGAGATAGGGTCTCTTGTGGCTTAGAACTCATGATGTAGTTGTGGATGACCTTGAACTCAGGATCCTTCTGCCTCCAAAGAGTGGCACCACTGAGTAAGGCCACAAGGGGAACTTAAAACAATTCCATTAAAAAGGTTTTCTTCCCAGGTTGGGGGTAAAGAAGCGTTTTTTAGCCCATGGCAGGCCCTGGGCTCCATTCCCAGCACAGTAGTAAATGAGCTATAGGTATGGGACAACTGATTTCCGAATGATACATTAGCACTGTGATGCAATGAGGCTGCTTGAAATGTTGCCACTCATTGTGCCAAGAAGAAAGTTCAAGAAAGATATTAGCTGTTGTTTTAAACTGTGTTTTGGATAAAGTTCAATTTATCGGAAATTGCCATGGTACCAGGAACTGCCTATGAATGTTTTTCTTTCATTCTTTCTGTTTTTCTCTCCCTTCTCTGTCATCCCAGAGTTTATTCCATGTGTGGCCCCCTAGTTGGCTTCTGTGTGTTCTGTTGTGTAGGGAAGAAAACTCAGGGGCCTGGCACAAGTGAACTATCAGCCTAGTGAGCATGGATATTTCTTGTGTGCCTTAAAGGATTCGGTACTGTAGGAATTTTACATTGATGTAGTCATTTCTATAATCTGAAGCTGCTCTCCAGCCCCGGCAGATGCCCTGATGATGTGTTTGGAGCCAGCATAGAATGGCCAGCCAGTTATGTTTGAGAACTGTTCTCCAATTTTGTTTTCCACAACAATGACATTTTGAAGAACATAAAGCCTCAATTTGGGTTTGATGTTTCCCCAAGATTCATTTCAAAACCAACATTTGAGACTAGAATACTACAAAAAGGGTGTATGATGTTTCCAGATATGTTTCTAGGCATGTGACATTTGTTGCCCCTTACTGGTGACATTGACTTTGAAGGTCAGGATGCCCTTTTTCTCCACTGTGCAGCCTTTTTTTTTTTTTCATTTTTGTAATTAACAAGTAGTGTTTAATAACTAATTGAAAACTATGCAAATATCCTGATCATCTCAACCTCACCATCATCACCAGCATTATATACTGATTTGATTCTGTTTGTTTTTGAGACAGGGTCTCACTCTGTAGCCCTGCTGGCCTGGAATTCTCTGTTTAGAGCAGACTGGGATTAGAGTCCCGCACTACCGTATCTGAAAATGATGCTTTTTGTGTGTTTGGTTTTTTGTTTGTTTGTTTTGTTTTGTTTTTTGTTTTTTGTTTTTTTTTTTTAAAGATTTTATTTATTATGTATACAACATTCTGCTTCCATATATATCTGCACACCAGAAGAGGGCACCAGATCTCATAACGGATGGTTGTGAGCCACCATGTGGTTGCTGGGAATTGAACTCAGGACCTCTGGAAGAGCAGTCAGTGCTCTTAACCTCTGAGCCATCTCTCCAGCCCTGTTTTGTTTTGTTTTTGTCTCTCTCATTTTTCTGGTTCTTAGAATTTGACATCTGCCGAGAGAGAGCTTTTTCCTCTTTCTCCTTATGTGTGTTAGGGCTTTGGGCTCCCAGTTCTTGCTTGATTCAATGGATTATAATGTGTTGGTTGCTGACTTAATTTTGATTCTGAAGTGCCTGGCTGGGCCGGTTGCCCTTCCCTGGCTCCCTGTCTTTGTTAGCATCTCCCCCTCCTTGCTTTGCAATGCTAGATGTCTCCCGCCCCCATCTGTAAACACTGGCATTCCTAACTCTTTAGGATTAGGGGCTGCAGAAAAGAGTTTTGAAGAATCCAGTGCTGAAAGACCAGCAGTGTGAACCCTGTTTCTGTTGTTTTGAGTTGTGCGCAGACTCCATACTGTTTTTACTTCGCAAACTTGTGATTTTTTAAATAGGTTTTAGGGTTTAAAGGAAAACTTTAAAGAGACTGCTTCACTGTTGGGTTTCCTCGTTGTTTACTTTTATCTCAGTGTGTTTAAATGAGCCAGTGCTTCCTCTCTTCAGGAATTGCAAGGGGTAACGACAAGGATTATTTTTCTTCTTCAGAAGCGGTCTCCCTGTGGACAGCCCTGGGTGGACTGGAACTTGCTGACTGGACAGCCTTTGTCTCTGGAGTGTGGGGATTAATGGCGTGGACTTTTAAAATTAAAATTTGGTTAAGGAACCTAATGTCTATAGTATTCTATACCTGTCTTTTAGGACCAGTGTGAAGTAACCAACCCACTGTGAGTCTTGGTTAGGGTTTGGCTAGGGAGGCAACTCTTACATACCTAACAATATGCTGATGTAAATCCCTGACAGGTTCTCACATCTCAAGTAGGCGACTCCTTTCTGTTTCCAAGTTGGCATTGTTCCTCATAATATTTTTTAATTAACTTTTTGCCTGTAATTTTTATCATTATTTATTAATCTGTTTTGTGTGTGCATGTGTGTGGTGGCCTGTGCCATCCGAGGGAGTCGGGTCTCTCCCGTGTACCGTGTGGGTCCCAGGGAATGAACTCGGGTCCTCCAGTCTGGCAGCGAGCGAGTTTACCAGCCGAGCCATCTCACTGCCCACCGGCATTAATATCCATAAAGTGCTGGATCGATGTCCTCATTTCCCAGCTTGGTATTTTTGCTGCAGAGGTTATGAACAGGTTTATATCTGGTTAAATGCAATTAGTTCTTGATAAGGCTGGCAGTCCTTTCAACTTTACTACGTAGAGCCAGTCGAACGTGAATTGTCCTTTTAGAGTGATCCAGCTTTTGGGACCAAAGTGAAAAGGAGCCTGCACAGCTGGGAGGATTCCCTGTAGAGATGGCTCTCAGAGCTCCCCATCCGTGTTTACAGTGGATGTTTGATCAGCGCTCCTGGTGGTCCTCAATCCGGAGAGCTCTGGCCCTCCAGGAATGCTGCTTCCTGGTTCCAAGTGCTGGAGCGCCCTCCTTCCACACAGCCGCTAACCGGTCCTCCTTTCCCTTCCAGACATGACGCTCCTCTCTTCTCAGACTTCATCCCTGGCGGCACCCTCCGGGTCTGTGTCCCCTGAAAAGCCTGAGCAGAGGATGCTGGAGAAGAGAGCCAAGGTGGTGGCTGAACTTGTGCAGACGGAAAAAGACTACATCCGGGATCTGGAGACGTGCATCGAGCGGGTCATGGTGCCCCTGCAGCAGGCACAGGTGGGAGACCGGCGGCAGCCTGACAGTGTGGACCTTCAGGCCTGCGGTGCTGGGAGGGGACAGGCTGTGACATCTACTGCAGTGCCGCGCTTGCAGACTGAGTGGCTCAGTGGTGAAGGAATAAAGGCTCAGCGTAAAGGAGGACAGACTTTCCGTGGCACACAGTTTCAGGGTTTGGCCTGCGGTTGGCCGGCGCTGTTGCTTTTGAGCAAAGCATCATGGCAGGGACTAGGCAGTAGCTGCTCATCCTGGCGCCCAGGAAGCAGAGTGAGCAGGGGCGGGGCCTCAGCTCCCTCCTCGGTGACCTAACTTCCTCCAGGTAGTCACCCCCTGCTGAAAGACCCACCTGCTGGTAACCCCACATCCTTAAACCCCCTGAACTCTAGGGGCACACTCTGGAGCTAGACCACACCTTAGTTAGGAACAAAGGGTGATGCCTGGTGCCCTTTTCTGGGTGGGAGTGAGTGAAGCGGGTGACCTTGGAGAACCTGGAGTGAGCCATGCTTCCCTCACTTAATCTCCCTGCATCCTGATGCTCTGCTTCTCTTGCTCAGGTACCAAACGTTGACTTTGAGGGGCTTTTTGGAAATATGCAGACGGTGATTAAAGTCTCAAAGCAGTTGCTGGCGGCCTTGGAAATCAGCGATGCTGTAGGTATGAGCTCATGCAGCTGTTTCCGGCTCAGGTGTGTGGTGGGGAGAGGGCCCTTCAGTGGCCAGGTGGTATACTAGGGGAATGACATTTGACATGGGTGCAGAGGTTGTGTGGGCCCTGCTTTCTCCCCTCCTTCAGTCTGCTTTGATGTGGTTAGTGTATTAGCTGGGCGGTGGTGGCGCACACCTTTAAGCACTCGGGAGGCAGAGGCAGGTGGATCTCCGTGAGTTCCAGACCAGCCTGGTCTACAAGAGCTAGTTCCAGGACAGCCTCCAAAGCCACAGAGAAACCCTGCCTCAACCCTCCCCCCCCCCAAAAAAAAAGCAAAAAGCAATCAAAGTTTTGGGTGTCATGGATAGGATGGTTTTCAGGCTGGAGACTCATGAGATCAACTTAGCGGATCACATTCACTATTTCTTTAAAATAAATAGAAAATATTGGACAATGCTATCGTAATGGCTTATTTATTTATTTATTGAAGCTTTTATTTCAGTTCTCTATTATGTGTCCTAATGGTGATTTACAGTGTGTATGTTGCTAGGATGTCCCACACATGTGTAAGCACAGGTGGTAGTTGTTTGCTGCAGCTTCGGACAATGAAAAGCGAACTACAAAACGCAACAAAAACTACGTGGAGTTTCTTGGGGAAAGGGAACAAAGGGAGGGGTAGGTGTTGGCCAGCCGGGAACAGAGATGGAAGGGAAGAGGGGGAACTGGTGGGAGGCACTCGCTTAAAGGGACAGCTTGCACATTTGTAGAGTCCTTATACAGCCTTGTAATGCGTGACGTAGCCATGCAACACAGGGCCCTTTGAGCTAAGTGTCTGTCTGAGTGCTGGTGTGTGTATCCTGCCAGTTGCCCACGGGTGGGGTCATCATAATGCCAGGATATCAACAGTAGTGACAGGAAGATCAGAAGTTCAAGGTCATTCTTAGCTCCATAGCAAGTTGAAGGCAAGCCTGGGCTACATGAGACCCTGTCTCAAAATTTTGTCTTTTTGTGGGTAACTGTAAAAAATATTCAAAGAAACTTCATCTGATTCTTATACCCAAGGGGACTTATTCATTACCTTTGCCCCATGTAAGTGGATACTTAGCAACTTTAATCAGTAAACATGCATCTTTAAATTCATTGGGTAGGCACTGGAAGGGGCTAGCTTAGGGTTCTCCTGGGGTTGGTGCCAGGCTGTTGGCCTGGCCTGCTGTCTTCTGGGTCTTAGAGCCTCTCTGTGGACTCTCCTCATAATGGATTAGTCCAGGACCATCAAAGGGAGCCAATGAAACCGGGGACAGGAGGGTCTCAGAAAGGTCCCTTCATCCCTTATGCCATACTCTGTTGGGATGTTGCTGTTGTAATAGAAACATAAACAAGCCCTTCACAGTTGCAGCTGTCCCATTAAACTCAATAACATCTAGCAAGGGGGCCCCTGCATCATTTTAAGAGTGTCATTTTAGCTGGGCATGGGGTACATTTCTGCAGTCCTAGCACTTGGAAGCAGAAGCCGGAGAATTGAATCAGGTTTTGGGCCAGCCTAGTCTACAAAGTGAGTTTCAGACCAGCCAGAGCTACATAGCAAGACTTTGTTTCAAACAGATAAGAGTGCCATTTTAATTGCAGACCTTTTCCAGAACCCCATCTGTTTTCCCTTTGTCATTGTCTGGTGGTAGTTGCCATGCCCGTGCCTGAACTGACTGCTAGAAGGAGAGTGGGGTCATACTGCTGCATTTACCTGACTTCCTAAGGCTGTCATCAAAGTAGAGTCAGGGCTTGCCCTTCTTAAGGTGGGGACAGGCCATAGGTGAGTTAGCCTGGCTGGATCTCAGAGGTTTAGGTGTCCTAACCTTGTTTTACACATGTGAACAGTGAGAAGGAAATTTACCTGTGGTCACGTGGCTCATAATTCAACCTCAGGTCTTGGTCATTTAGGCTCACACAGTTGTATGCTAGCTTAGTACTGTTATTATTGTTGAGGGGACAGAAAGCTGGGGACCTGGCTGTTAGTGGAGTTGCGTGGGTAATGCAATGTGAATTCAGTAATAAGACATGAAGGCTGCTGTGTGTAAGAACTGGCCATGCATTTGAAGTACCTGCAGGTGATTTATTGGAAATAGGAAAAAAAATGAGACATTTAGCTGACATCAAGGGAGGATTAATCACTCATTTTTCTCCCATGTTGTTCCATTATGTGTCATGCTTGGGCCCTCAGGGGGTCCTCGCCTCACCAGAGTGACTTCTCCCTCTGCTCCTGTTTGCACCAAAGACTGTAAGGAGTCCTGCCAGCCAGCCCTTATTAATTATGAAAGCTCCGCCTTAGCTTAGGCTTGTTCCTAACTAGCTCTTATAACTTAAATTAACCTATTTCTGTTCATCTATGTGCTGCCACGTGGCTCGTGGCTTTCACCTCTCCTCCCGAGTGTCCCACTTTCTCTGTGTCACGCTGCCTTTCCTCCTCATCCCCCAAAGTCCCACCTGACCTCTTTCTGCCTCACAGGAACATATCTCTGCCTGGTGTGGAGGAATATTCCATAACAAAAGATGTCTTGGGTACCAGCTGGTGCTTGGGGCTTGAGGGGTCTTAGATGATGGACAGTGAGAGCTTGTGGTGACATGGGCAGACACAGTAGGACTCAGATCACCATGTGATCAAGAGGGTTCCCATGCAAGTAACATCTCAGAGTGTGGAGTGATCGCCCCTTCCTGGGTCCTCAGGTGAGGACAATGAGGTGTCCCTTCGTGAACTGGGGCATTTAAGGAGTTCTTGCAAGGGGGAACTTTGCCCTAAAGTTTGTGAGAGTTGTTTCTGGGTTGAAGTTTTGTCTCCTAGAACTTTCCAGGTCAAGATGTCATACTTTTTTTTCCTCTTTTTTATAATTTTTTTTATTTAGAAACTTATTTTACATATCAATCCCTAGTTCCCTCTCCCTCCCATCCTCCCATGTCCCTCCAACCCTCCCAACCCACCCTCCACCCCCTCCCCAAGGATAGTGAAGCCTTCCATGGGGGATCATCAAAGTCTGTCACATCA